GGTAGACCTCAACGGCGCTTTCGAAACTGCTGGAGAAAGTCGATTTCTACGACCCAAATTTTTTAGCTTTTTTAAGCAAAGTAGAATGCGTAAGATTCCTCTGAGCAAAATTAGTTTTATATGGGTTAACATTTTAACCCTGACTACCTCGCATACTGCTGTGCAGTCAAATTCCTATAAGCCCCAACATGGAACGCAACCACGATTTCTTTTGCCCCGTATGCGCACCATGCTCGCTTAGAAGGGACTTAAACGCTGCTGTCAGTTTCTTATCAATTTGGGCTTATCTTACTTATGATGAACTAGCAATGAATTTTATCACCCTTTGAAATTGTCTCCGTCACTGTCATGCAACCTCATTAGAAGTTGAGTACTTATTTTCCAATGATCAGCTCGAACTTCCATTACTCACATACTCTTCTGGAGTAGTGAATTCTTTTACACTTACAATCGTTATGCTTGCCCTGATGTACGCACCCTCGTTCCAAAATGAGTGACGCCGTACGATTTTTCGTGTTGTTTCGGTCATATGCCATCACTACCGCATCCGATTGAACTGTCACCTGACCCATATTTTGATCTGCGACAAATTATGCCACCCTTTGATGGCGCGATTCAAGCAGCAACTATTTTTATCCCTCGTATTTGTCATGCAAATATTTAAAACCACTTACTTCTTTCCTTTGTGCAGAGTGAGCTCGCCACTTGTCAGCCCCCTCATTCGTCGCATACTGTTCATGCCGAAACTAAAATTGCTTCTCTTTATTTCACAGGCATAGAAAAAGGAAAAGTTGCGGCTGTGCAGATGCCTTTTACAGGTAACAAACGTGGCTCTATGAGTGCTCTCGCTGTCTATGTCAGAGGACAGTCCAGGTCAGACAAATCCATCCGTTGTGTCACATAATGGACGCACAGAAGAGGGTGTAGAAGTAAGTGAATTTACAAAAATAGTGTGAAATCGGCATCACTTGGTGGACGGTTTAAAGCCCAGCACGAAGTTGATTGACAGTCTAAGAACCTTGTATTACAGACAATTATTCCAACCTAGCTCCACATTCACAAAGAGACTGTCAGTCAGATGCTAACAGAGGCCAATTTTTAACTGTCTTTTAGTTTTCCAAGTGATGGATTGCACATTCAACTGTGGCACGAGCACGGGTTTGAATATGGGTCCATTTTTTGCTGGTAGAAATGACCCTCATTGTTGTTAAAGGTTCACAAATGTGTGCAAATGAAAGTTGTAATTTGCTTGTCATGGCATTGGGTTACGTGTGTGGTGGGAAATTGGGTGGATGGCCTCTATGGTTTTGTTGGAGTGTGCGTGCTCATCTGTCAACGTTGTTCGTAACCACTGTGCACGGACCCGGTCAAAATTTCGTCTCCGTGGGCACAATAAAACAGTAAAAATTGATTCTGCTTCGCATGATTGGGGCAAGTGATGTTTAGTAAACAAGAAGGAAAATTGCACAACCAAGAAATGATTCGTGTATAAACAGAATTCTCTTCCACTCCAATGGCACTCAGCATCGCCTTGTTGACAGCAATTGCTCCTCAGAACTCCAATTTTGCAATTGATTTGCAAAGATTATCGTGTCGTGCAAGGTTTTTTTGCGAAAAGATGGCGTCTTCAGTCCAAAATCTGCATCAAACGGTGATCAACAATTACTCATGAATTTCCTTTACTACAAAAAATGTAATATGTGTGAGTACACGAGCTAGCAGGACGAGAACAAGCCTCGACGCTGAAGATTGTTCAGTTTAGCGAACCAAATATGAAAATGTACCTCTTTTAAACGAAAACGTCCCGATTTAACTGTAGTCCCCACGATATTCCTATAGCTAGAGATAGGAAGGGCGCAGAGCACAACTTATCAGCCTTTTTTGTGATAGTCTGCCCAGAGCAATGGGTCAATTTTGTCACTTGTAATTTTACTTACTGATATGACTACTATAGGCTCTGATTTAGTTCGACCACGTTGTCAAATTCATTGGCTAGACTTTTTATGAACGAACTTCCGGAGCCCTTTGAAAACGTGTAACAGGTGAATGACAAATAAAAACTACAGAGTGGTTTTCTACTAAAGGGTTTAAAGAAGGCTATTTCGATTATGGCTTTGCTACACAGACTATCAGGCACAAACGCGGACCAGTGGGGCAGACAGCAGTTCTTGAGGAGATTAACGGAAATACTTATGTGAAACTCAATGGCTCCACCAAATGTTTTGCCACTTTATTTTGTGCATTAAGCTATAAAGCGGTTATTTTTTGCTGGTTGGGAATCACCTTAAATGTAGGCGTGCATTTTGTAGTAGCTATTTAATGAGATCATCAGTGAGTGGGAAATTAGACACCACGGAATCGTGCTTGCACAATACCCTGCGTTTTCATCCCTCGTTCCTGTGTGGGGGTGTGCTTGTGTGTGCTGACTTTCAGCAATGCTGCGTGTTTTACATTTGCACGACTCTGCTGACTTTAGCAAGTAGATCAGCAGTTTAGGATTTCATTTTCCAGAACGGAGAAGTGATGCAAAACCTCGCCTTACACACATTTTCACATACTTAAGTGTGGGTCCCATTCTCATTCACATAAGAACAAGTCCTAACAGAAGGATAAAAGTGACTCTGGTCTAGTGGTCTCTTAGATGGCTATTTATGGCTAAAACAGCACTTGATGTGCTCGTGAAACATCTGATGAAGTTTGTTTAAGGAAGTACGCTGTGTCAAAGTGCACCTACATTCTGAATATGACCGGGACGGATAGACACGGTTGGTTGACACTGGGGTGAAAACAAAGTGGCATAGAATAATATGTGACATTCCATAAGCGATGCATCCTCCTTCTCTTAACAGAGATTCCAAACAGGATGGCATTGCAAATGAGGTGGCCAGCAGTGTCGCATAATGACTGTTTGCCCTACTACTTTGTGATGACCACGGGAAGAGGAGGTGGGTGCATTGTTGAAGGCATGGTCTGCAGACAGTAGGACAAGCTTTCAGCTCTCCCGCATGCCAGTTAGGCACATCCTAGTTTATTGTTATGTTCTCTTCCAAGTCTTAGAAACGTTAAGACGCTAACTACTGCCTTCACTAGAACTTCCAATTTACTATGCCATCAAGCAATGAAGAGTTGGTAAAGTAGGTGATACAAACCCTTAAGATCCGTCCAAATTGGCTACTTCTGAAGAATTTCACGCACCAAACTGTGTGCAAACATCTATTCTAGAACCCACGTTGGAGCAAGTTTGAATGACTTCCAAAACTATCCATTTGAGTACCGAGAGGTGAGTAATGCTTGAACCACCTAGTGGAAGAAACATGCATACACGGATCTGGTAGGTACCGAACGACTGACTCACACGAAGCAATGTGGATATACGATTTGCATTTGATCGCCGTTTTTAGTATTGAGCACTTCGATGATTAACGCATATACAGGGGACTATTTTGTGTCCAACTTGTTTTTCTATCAAATTTATTTACTGAGGCTAAAATATTTACATACAGAGAAGAGAAGTCGCAGGGCGTCTAAAGCGCCGCGCGAATGAGCTTGGCGAAATCATAATTTAGTAAAAATAACATTTATGTTTGTGGTCTTGTGAAACATGGCAGAACATTAAGTGGTAAGGCAGTCCGCCTCATGAGGTGTTATCTTGTAACACCTGCACAAACTCTACTGGGAAGTGTCCACGTCGCCCGTCTTTCTCGCCGTAGTACCACTGATCATCCACCTTAACAAGAGAAAAGCCGTCATGACATCATCCGATGATAAAAAGCAGTACGTCGAAACGTCAATTTGGGAAAGACTTCTCATCAAAGCCTCGACTACTAGCTAGTTCTTAAGTTTCGGTCAATGCGTGCGTTTATGTGTGTGGATGCACATTCATGGCAACCAGTCATCGTAAAAAGGGAGCAAAGACTTGCCTTTTCAATAATTGTTGCAATGTCAAATTGTTTAAGACTCAAATCGTCGTCTTGTTCCGCCTCAAAGTCGTACAATGCCTGGCATTTGATCGGCTTCACTGCTGTGCTTGGTTGGAAGCTATCTGCACACGAAAATTTAAAAACACCCTTTTGAGCATATTAGAGCCTAGCATACATAGAAATACAAAAAAGGATCATGTGTTTTACATCTGACGGCAACAGTAGACCTTGAGGCATTTACGATTCCACTCGTATAACATTAAAAAATTGCTAAATTTTTCAACAAAATGTCCCAAATCAAAGCGTAAACGTAATTGCCCGAACAACATATCGCTTTTACGTGGCAGTTATGGCTTGTGATTTGCTCTTCTGTTATCCAAGTGACAAAAGGAACGAGTACATAATTCAGCGGCGTCAACTCCACTCAATCAGCCTACTTCATGGACACCACAGCGAAGGTTGGAGTCAGTCCTGCCAATCTTGAATCGGTATACACCACTATCATCCACTCAGTAAGGCTTCCTTTTTCTTACTGGTCAGCTTATTCCCTTCAGAGAGCAAAACGATGAATGTAGTGCGGCACAAACAAGGAAAGGACCCAAAAGATACTTACACTCGGTCGGCGGAGTTGATCTTCCTACAGTAGCGACGTAACCAAAGTCAGTCTGTGGCTTATCGTAGTACCCGCCGTCACCATTGATGTTGGTATCGAAGGCCATCCCGGGCAAGCTGTCTGCAGAGTTGCCCCGACTGTAGGTGCGGCAAATAAAATGAACGATTAGGCGACTATGAGAAGATCTGTGAATGACTGTGCTGCAGCGCTGAATTTCTGCATCGCATAAAGGATTCGACATCCCCATTCATTCACGCTCTTAGGTGAATCAGGCTAAAGGCCAACAATGCTCTTTCCCTCATCCAACTGCTCACACCTCTGCAGGCAAATCTGAAGAGATACAGCTAACAAAAAATGAATAAGCGAATTTTAATCTTTGGACAAATCGTCTGATGGCGAATGCCATCCATGAAGAACATTACAAAGTACGCGTTTATAATGACTAAAATAGGTGGAACTGGCTTTAAACTATGTTCAATAAAACGTAAGCGATAGAGCTATTCGATGACGCCTTGAAATCTGCTTGGGAGAACAAATACGGAAATGCACTTCATCCAAATCGACAAATATCACACTTCTATTCGCCAATTTTTCTAAATGGTTGTTAATTTACTAATCTGCGACAAAGAGTGACTTTTACAAATAAAAGCAAGAATAAACGCACCATTCGGTCCCCTCCCAAAGGATCCTCTCGCCCTCTATACTCCACCTCTAGGAATACTGTGCTCTATTTGTGTGGACAGTCAAACACTTGGTGACGAGGTCTGTCAGCTCGATAGAAGTGGATGGGAAGGATATGCTGCATCACCCTCCGCATTTACTAATTCCATAAATTCAAGCAATTATTAGCTTTTCCTAACTCTGAACTACCTCAGTTGAAGTTGTAAGTTGGGAAACGAGGTATGGATGGCTTATCATTTACTGCAGAAAACTTCATCAATTCACTCGACCCAATCTAAATGGTGCACCTTGGTGGAGATGTAATGACAAATTCGATGCACCTCAAATGGAAAAACTGCCTCCATAAGAGTGACTCGAATTGACGTCGAGGTAACGATGCCAAGTTAAACGGTAGTCCTCATCTGCAGCTTTGATGACAGGGCGATTAACGATGCTAAGGACACCAATTTCGAGGAGTAGTGAAAGACAGACTTCTAGTTTTTACGCTCTTAACGAGCCACATGGCCTGACTACCGGCCTGTTTGCCCCATTCGGAGATGATATTGATGTTGGCAGCTCGCAAACGCACGCAATGCTAGACACAGCACAGGCGCTTGCCAAGCTGTGCCAAGCACCTTGGTGGAATGAATGAAGGTTTGTCACCAGCACGCACCACACTCATTCCGTCACTCATTCATCCACCCACCCGAGTAGATCGATGCTTGATATGAGGCACGCTGGATACCAAGCTCTCCTTCCCTCACTATGACAGCGCACCAATCCAACTTGGGGTGAGCGCGTGAGATCCAAACCTTTTTTGTGTCACGAGGCCTCCTATGTGATGTTAAGGTGTAACGGGGGGCAAATTTCAATCCAAAAAACTTCACGAGCGATTGATAATTTACGAATACTCTCAATTCTCGAAGCAAGTAAATGGTCGTAGTCGTGATAGTAGAAATGACGGTGATGATGACGATTACATATTCTTTTAAATGGTCTGCTAGCAAAGTTAGTAGCATTGTGAGACGTCGAACTTTGGAGACGTTTAGATCAAACGAGACCTCACTTACCCCCATTATGACCTAAGCATAACCGCCTGGTGGGGAAATGAATTCCCCAAGCCCCTCCCCTCTCCTCACCCCGGCTACCCAGTAGTCTATATTTTCAGTAGCTACTGTCAAAATTGGCTGCTTCCAACCATTTAATAGGTCTAAAGTTCACAAAGTATGGAACTTTACCCAACGAGTCTTTTATAGCTGGAGCGAAATGCAACTGCACAGTGCTCCCTTTTTGCGGTTTTATCAAGGAATGTGCCTTGGATACGATTCCTTGCCAAAAGATATCAACCTACATTGTTTTCAATTCTGAAACCAAGTTGGTGAAGGCCTCCACTGCCGATTTGTGATATTCCAGTTGAGCCTCAGCCGATGCCTGCAGAAATGTTATCCTCTTGGGCTAAAGGAAAATTAAATGAACGCTTTAATGTACACTCGTGATCTCCATGAGTAAAGTACCTCAGTTGCCTACCTCATCTTGCCGAAAGTCGATAAGGGCTCTCTTGAGTCGCTCCATCGCCTCGGAGTGGGATCTGAAGGCTAGATCGCGCCGAGCAGTCGCTTGAGGATTGCCTAAAAGAAGTGCACCAGTTACCTCAATTTATCGTCGATTATCAAACCCAAGAGTGGCTTTTATGCTGAGATTCCGCAAAATTTTGACTAAGTTGGCTACCATGGATGAAGTGAAAATGTTGCACAGCCTGTTGAGTAGAAATCAATTTATTTTCGTCATTTTGCCATTTAGCTACAAATAATCTCAAATTTTATCCATCCTTGATGCGTGATATTTGTGAGATGTGGCTTGTGCTCTTAGCCTGAGAGTTATTCATAGGGTTGCGACAGAGCAAATTAATTCAGTCACCCTATTCAAAAGGCTTTTGAAGTCAGTGGAATATAGGCAACAGCAAAGGCAGGGAACCGATGTCGTCTATTGTAACCTAAATCCTCCTTTGGCATGCAATCTTTGCAATCTCATATTACTCATACGTATCGGGTGCCCAAAATGTAACATTTGCGATTCTGGAAAGGTCAGCGAAAGTCGAGCACTCATTAACTGTAAACTGTATCGAAGACTTTTGAAGGTGTCTTAAAACAAACAAAATTATTAAATGCTAAAAAGGTGCTAAAAATCTTTTGAAAAGTTTGTTAACCCAAGCGGCATCAAGTGCCTTAATGGCGACTCGAAGCTTCTGTAGGATAAGCTAAATAATAAGCCAATATTCGTAGCATAGTGGCGTGATTTATGGGAAAATTTTAATAATAAATGAAACAGGAAGAATTTTTGGCTCTGTTGACAACCCAGCGGTCCTATTTTCACTTTCAAAGCCATGCCCATGATGTTGTAAGCTTACCATCTTTCTCTCTGTTCTTTTCAGCCGCATTCAATTCATTCTGAGCATCTGCAACTGACTTTCGCAACTTCTGTAAATACAAAACATTTGCGAGTTACATAATATGTTTCACTGTAAACGGTCCTTTGCGATGACACTAACTTCGCAATTTAAGCAATCATAGACATGAGATACAAAAGAGATACTAAACAACTTCAAAAAATAGTAAAAATGCATTTGACAATCAACCAATGGGACCATCCTCTGGCAGAACATTCAATAAATTTTACAACATCATTGTGCATGCAGAAATTCATTACACAGCCCAAACGAGAATTAGCTCTTGCCATCTGATGTGGGCCAGGGCAGGCGATACCAAAACTTATTAAGGATTGAAACTTAAGATAATATACAGACCTGAATGTTGCCTAGTTCCTTCAGTGTTGTGTCTTTAATGGGGTTGAAAACTTCAGTTCTCATATTCGAATCACGTTGTGACTTAATATCAGCTATTTGCTGATATGTTGTCACCATGGCTTGTATAGCTTCACCTGCAAGCCAAAAACTAAGCCTCAATACAACTTATGGAAGGTAAGGATAAATTTTACAATTGATAATAGCTTATGTTAGGCTTTGAAAAGCAAGGCAAAGGTTTTACGATATCACGGTGTATACTCGATGGTTACTAATAGCTGATGTTTGCAGAGGGTCCCAAGGAGTGAACTTCCACAACAATCT